GTTTTTAAAACAACCTTGCAACTGGCGATTACCTGGCTCTCCATTCTGAAACTGGTACCGAAGTGCCCAGTGTTCTGGCTGCTGGTCAACAGACAGGTTAGAGTCAAGCCTCTGGACTCACCCTGAGGAGCTCATTTGAGGGGCAATGTTTCCCCTCCAGAGGAGAATAACAAGTGTCTCCTACACCAGTCTACAAAATGTCAAGGAATCCCCAGTGATGGCCCCAGTCAGGCACAGGAGCGCAGGGAAGCACAACTGGCTTCTGAATGGCTGAAATCCCATCAGCCAGGCTTGGGGTTTGTGACTCACACCTCTGGCACCCTTGAGGGGGATGAGCAAGGTCTAGACTGATGTACTGTTTTCTTCCACTCTCTGCTTTGGGAGTTCTGGAGCACTCGGAAAGAGGCACAGACCTGTGCAGGTCGTGGGGAGGCCTGGGATCTGTCTCCGAGCTCCAAGCATTAACAAGGATAACGGTCACTGCAGCCTGGGGTGGGAAGAGATGGGGATGTCTCATCGGCTCCAAGAGTCCAGGAGTTCACAGCTGGGTCACAGACATGGAGAAAGTACTAACTGACGCTTCCTTTTGGTTACACTTCACTCTTGATCACTTCTGAAATCAGAGCCCCAAATTGGGGGGATTTCATGAAGGGCTGTGACCCTCACTCTTAGACACAGAAGAGTCAAGATGCAAAGTCTGGACCTGGTTTCCAGGTCAAGAACAGGCAGGGAGAAGGACAGAGCACACAATACACACACTAGTTGACACTCCTTCTGTGCATGTGACACACAAAGCTGTTACCAAGAGACCCCTCCAGGTTGGTACAGATGCATTTTCAGTCAGGGATCAGTGACCAAGGGCTGTTCAATGCAGCCAGGAACTAGGAGCTCAGCCCCAGTGGAGCAAAGTGTGGTGTTTCATCTCGGCTGAAAGCTATCCCACAATACCCGCCCTTCGGCCTTCGCACTGAGTTGGAATAAATGATAAACATTTGTCTTCATGGTAGTTCTTACAGTATTTGAAGAGAGCTGCCATTCCCCACCCCCATATTCCTTTTCTTGACAGATTAAAACTTCACTGTCTCATATCATATGGCGTCCAGACCAATCAACACCTTCAGAGATTTGTTTCTTTGTTTTTGTTTTTTTTGTACCAGGAATTGAACTCATGACTTCACACTTGCCAGGTGGGTGCTTATGCTGCTGAGCTAAATCCTTGGCCTGTTTATTTGTTTTTAATAATCAGTGCTTTGTAGTCATTTTCTGTAATGTCTGCACTCTTGTGGTTGATTTGTTTCCCATGAACTTTAATATATATTTAATGTTCTATAGGTCCAAAATATAACATGTATCTCTAACATATTATCATTATTGTGACACTCTGGGCCTGTTATTTCAGCCTTTTGTAGATTCCTGAATCTTTCTTCATTCCACAACTTTAGATCTTAGCAATCTTTCCTAGTTTTGTATTCCCTCTACATTTTGTCAGTCCACATTTTAATTTCCGTGAAGATTCCTGATGGATGATGGGAAGGCAGAGGCAGAGCCCTAGGGCACATCATTAGAGGCCATCCCCTGTGTTTATTCCAAATTAGTCACCAGTTTTCCCTGGGTATCCTTAGTCAGTCCCCCATGACTCCACCTAGGGGCCCACAAAAGCAATCTGTTTCCCTTGTCCACAAAAATGTGACAGGGGCCATTTCTTTAGCTAATGATTCCATGATCTCAGCTACTGACACAGGCCATCCCATGAGGTATTCTGGAGAAACTTCTCAGCATCCCACAAACATCTGCTCTAGAAGGTCCAAGTGGCTTCCTCTCCATGAAGTCAGTGATGCCAGGAAGCATGCATTTTAGCCACAAAGCTCAGGATGCAAGAATCTTCTGACAGCCCCTTGGGCATCCCAAATCCAGGCACTGTCTGATCTATTTTCAGCAAACACCAAAAGGGAGTCCTGGAAGGTGACCCATCCTCTCCGAATTTGTGGCTGGACAAGAAAGCTCCACCCTGGTTTGTAGTCACTAGTCCTGTCTGAATGACAGAATGAGGGAGAGGCCTTCTAGCAAAATGCCAAAGAAGCGTGAAGGCTGTGAAAGTCACCTGGTCCTTCAAACCAGATGCTTGCCCTGATCACTGTCAATTCATGGGGACTCATATGCTTTGCCTGGCATGGTCCTACAGCTTACCCCAGATATGTATCTGTCTTCCCAGGTCCTGGGGACCATATCTACATCCTGATGTCTCAGAACCTGATGTGTGCAGTAGGCACCCCACAAAGGTCCAGAATAAAGAGTATGCTTTCCTACCATGCAGTCTCAACCCTTCCAAGACAAGAAAGTTCTCCCCAACATTTCCTCTTCCTGAGCCTTTCTCTTTTCCACCCCATGAGATTCTGCTTTTGATGTGAACCACCTTAATTCTCCTCAAACACTAGGCATCAGAAGTGGCAAAGAATGTATTCAATGCACATTTATCTAACGAAGCGCCACACAGAGTCCCTTACCCAGGATCATCACCTCATTTACTCTACCCCAGGCCCACTGATGTTCTGCCCTCCATCTGTTTATTCAAGAAACCTTTCTAATGCTAATAAGTCTGGCTTTTACTGGACATGAGGAGTGGCTCTTCTGATATTCTAGGCCAAACAGGAGCCCATCAATGGCACTAGGAACGAGCTCACTGTCTTATCAGGCAGGGCAATGCTGTGAAGGAATGAGCCGCTCCTACGTGGTACTGTTAGTTTAATATTCTGTCCATCTAAAAGAATGATGATCTCTGGTGAAAGAAAACAAACCTGGCGAGTTGGAGATATTGTTGCCATGCGGTGTCTAGATTTATCTGCTGGACACACTGATGACTGAGACACAGCTCCTGCTCCTCAGGGGCTTCTGGTCTCCTCAGAGAGATGAGCCACTTAGCAGTGGGTGCTGACCACTCCACACAAGATCACAGAAAAGTAGAGATGGGCAGTTCTGTGAGATGGAGTTGCACAAGCTCATCCCCAAAGTAATCGACTCCACCACAGAGCAAAGCTGTCTTTGGTGAAGTTCAGTTACTAAATAGCTGGGGTCCCCAACACCTGGGCCAGGGAGCAGTATCCTACTGGGTCATGGACCTCTTAGGAACTGTGCCACACAGCAGGAGGCGAGTGCCAGGCAAGTGAGTGATGCGTCATCTGGATTTACAGCCATTCCCATCACTGGCATTGCTGCCTGAGCCCCACCGAATGTCAGCTCATCAGGGGTACCAGATTCTCACAGGAATGCAAACCCCACTGTGAACTGCACATGTGAGGGACCCAGGTTTCATGCTCCTTTGAATCGTCTTGAAACCAATACCCTTTTCCCTTGCCTTTTATCCTTCCCTTTCCATGGAAAAATTATCTCTCATGAAACCTGTCCTTGGTGCCAAAAAGGTGGAAACCACTGAAATAAAGCATGTCTACTCTATAGCACACGCTGTGGTTATTGTGGATGAAAGTGCACATCTGAAGAGTGTCAGCTAGAAGTGGTCTCTCCCTGCCAGCTGAGGGAAGGATGGGAATCCCTCCTCTGCTCACTGCAGGCTGGACCAGTTCCTAGCAGAAGCCAGGAGAGAGGAGTGGACAGTATGAGTCACGAGAAGAAAATGCACAGAATACACTCTTGGGAGAGCTTCCTGTGGAGCCCAAAGAAGGCCGTTTCCACTCCCCTTTCTTCAGCCTTAGTGCTTGCCCTGGCTGGAGGCCAAGGCTTCGTGACACTTCTTGGCCTGTGTCCATGGTGAGTCCCCGTGTCCCATGGGGGTGACATCCAACATGTTCCTTGAGGACTGGAGTCTCGGCAGCCCACTCCTTCCTGTCCAAAGGCCCATATGTTTTGAATATAAGAGGAATGCAAGAATCACTTGCTAATGTAGTTGTCTGGATGAAGAAATTGTTGAAAAACTCAACTTAAACCTGAGCCATAAATGTAGAAGAAGGGTCACAAATTCCCCTTGTTAGCCACTTTCAGATGTCAATTGGGCCACCAACACCAGAGTCATCTGAGAGAGCATTAAAAAAAAAAAAGCTAGTCCTATAGTGGGAAATTCTCCTTCAGGAGGTCAAGAAGGAGGTCCCAGTATCTGCAATTGTAAGGTGACACTGGTCCCCTGCAGATTTGGGGACAACTGTCCCAGGGTTGCCAGTCCCCGAGAAGGCCCCCAGTGATCTCTACCTTCTGCATTCATTCTCTTGTATCATCTTCTTCCAGATGGGGACCGGGGTGGTCTGTGTGACCAAGAGACTAGAGCGGGAATGATGGTCTGTCACTTCTTAGAGTGGGTTACCAAGTGCCATGGTTTGCATGCAGTGGTTTCTCTTCAACAAATCACTCACTCTTGGGGGAGACACCCACGGCACAGGTAACGTGTTGAGGACACTGGAACTGCCTATAGAAAGGCTGTGCAGAAAGGCAGGAGGCTCCAGCCAGCAGCGAGTAAGAAACCAAAGCCCGCCCTCAACCACATGAGTCAGCTGGGGAGGGGAATCTCCAGCTCCAGGGGACATCTGGGGTCCAGTTTCATGGGAAAGAATCAAGTAGTTAAGCCTCCACTGGCTTCCTGACCCCATGGAAACTGTGTGAGATGATAGATGTTGGTTCTGTTAGGCTGAAAAATCTGGAAGGAATTTGTTATGCAGCAAGCAATAACTAATACATTTCCCAACCAAAGAGCAAACTCCCACACATGGCTCAGCAGGGATTTCATACCCACCTTCCCCGCAGGAGTTCTAGCAGACAGACTCACATCATCTTGGCCATCCCCTGCTGATCCCTGCTGACCCCCAGATCACACTCCCAACCTCTGTGCCCAGATGCCTTTCCCCACAATGCCTTTCTTCTCCAGAAATCCCTGAAACTGCCCTTTGGGGCTGGCCTCTCCTTAGGGTTCACAAACACTTCTTGAAATCAGTGGGCAAGAAGTGAGTTACGTAAGAAAAACGTTCACACAAGGAAATCATCAAGAGCACAGGACTTGCCTCTATCTGGTTGATCAATGAGTTGTCAAATTTGAACCCAGGAATCCTCTTCTCGCTGCACACCACACCAACATCTTCCGTGTGCTTGCAGTCGGTGACACCCCAGCCATTGGAGGTGCATGACGCCAGGGTGGCCTCACCACCCGTGCAGTAGACATTGTCCAACCAGATGGGCCCTAAAGGAAGCAGAGGAGAAAACCCAGCACCATGTGAATGCAGGTTTGTGTGTCTGGGGCACCAGAATCTTCCATGGAAAGAAGACTTCCCAGCTGTGTGCAGCAACAATGGATTCTTATTGTGTTGAGAGACTGCATTTAATCCTAGACCACCTAGATTCCCCACACAGATCAGGCAGCTGATATGGTTTGGAGAAGGGGTAGATTGAGCACAGTTAGGACAGGAGTCAGATTTAAGCCTGGAAATTCTATGGTATAGTGCAAAGAGCTGTGGGTTTGGCTTTGGGTTTGAATTCTGCTCTAGTTGCTTTGGCTTTATGACCTTGGTCAAAGCTTCCTTGTCCATCAAAAGTGCAGCTAATACTGACTGGAGTTGCTGAAGCATGTACTGATTAGTGTAACATACAGCACAAGCCTAGTTTATTGCTGATGCATAGCTACTAAAAATGTAACAATGATGAAGAGAAGGAGTACAGTTATACCAAGCCAGCTGTCTCTGCCATGGGTGGCAGAGGCTGCCCTCTGACTCCTCAGGGGCAAATCCAACCCTTAGAGATAAGGGTTGGCAGTTTTTTAGGCATTTGCATGCGTATTACCTCCTGGATCTTTCCATACCTCTAGGAAGAGGACACATTGGCATGATCACTCCCACTTCATAAATGCAGAGCTCCGGCTCACAGAAAGGACACCCCCATGGGTGCTAGGCCACCCTCTAGGCTAAGAAGCGTGGGCCTCCATTCAGTGCCCTTCTCACTTCCTGATGTCCACCGTGCCACGCAGGCACAGGCCAGCACCCTAAGCTACAGAGCCACCTCATCACACTCTGCAAGGCCACTGTGGAACTTTGTTCACCTCCCGGTCCTTTATTGCACTTGCACAAAGTCGAATTAAGTGAGTGACGTGCTCGAGGGTTAATCACTCTTCCTGCCACCAAGATAGTGGCTACTATCAAAAACATGGGCTGTGACAAGTGCTGGTGAGGAGGTGAAGGAGCCTGAGCCCCACGCACCACCTGGGGGAACTCACAGCGCGTATCATGCTGAAAAAGAGCATGGTGGTTCCTCCAAAACTTAAAAATAAAATTATCACAGAATTGGGCAATTGCACTTCTGGGTACACTTCCCAAAGGAGGGAAAGCAGGGTCTCAAGAGATCTCTGCACGCTCAGGTCTACGTTCACAGTAGCACTACTCAAGAACTGTCAAGAGGTAGAAGAAACTCAAGTGTGTGCTGACAAATTTCAGTCTATACATACAATCACACAGGCTTTAAAAGGAAAACGATTCTGCCACATCTTACGATGTGGAGGAACCTTGAGGACACGATGCTAAGTGGAATAAGCCAGCCATGCAATGTACAAGGCATCTCAAGAAGCCAAAGCCTGAGCAACAGAAAGCAGCATGGGGTTGCCAGAGCCTGGGAGAAGGAGTGAGGAGTGGGTGGTCATAGGAACAGTTTCAGTCTGAGAAGATGAAAAAACTCTGGTGATCAGCTGCCCTGCAGTGCAAACATACTGAACTATACTGCCCCTCTCACTTCGAAATGGCTAAGATGTGCATTTTATGTTATACACATTTTACTACAATCAAAAATAAAGACTAAAAAAGGTGTCAAGAGGGTTTTCAACTAATGATTTTTAGAAAGAAAACAAAACCAAGTCTCATTTCTCCCATGGCTCCTGTAGAAGCTAATAGAACAGCAGGGTCCCTGAACTGGTGTTTAAGTCCCATGTAGCTCGGCTCATTCCTAAAACAAAAACACTGCCCAACAAACAGGTCGCCATGGAGATCCAGTGCAACACAAGAATGTGAGTATATATTCAAACTTCCTTTCCTCCTTGCAGGTGTCATAAAACAATGAATTATACAGGTTTCACGATGCAAGCAAAAGCAGATAAAAACACACCCATTGTAGAGATGGTCATGGAGGCAGGAGGCTGGGGTCCTGTAAGGTCGGGAGGACTCAGGGCCTGCCTCCTGCCTCCCGGGTGAGGCTGGAGTGCATCTGCTCTGCCAGAGGGCTGGTCAGGGCTCAAAGGAGAATGCTTCGGACATGTTGTGGGAACAGTGAGTTTATTGAAAACATCTGGGCTGAGGATTTCCAACTGGTTTCTCATTCTAGCCTGGTTTTCAAGTCGAGCTCTGCTGAAATATACTCTTCCTAATCGATTGCTGTCTCTACAACAAGCCTGTGTTTGTGTTACTAAGTACTAGCAGTGGAAAGACCCTCCGCCCTCTAGGCAGGTCCTCTTGCTTAGAATGCTCTGCAGCTAAGCAACACAGGGGTCGAGGGGGTGAAAAAAGTGGTGTCCTTATTCTTTCTATAGCCACAGACACCCCCTCGCCCTGGGACCGGGAGCATGTCGGCGTACCTTTAAAGGAACCATGTGCAGCAGCAAACCCCAACTGGCTGGGGCTGGCTCCACTTTCTGTGATGGAGCATATAAAATCCGCACCCTGGAGTACAAGGAAACCAGGCTCCCCAAAATAGTTGCTGCCTTCCGTACTATCCTGGATCCCCAATAATCCTACCCTCTATAAATTGCTGGTCAGTCATTTAGATGGTGCACACCATGAGCAGTGTACTATCTGGCTGGATTTCATGGCAATGTCTTCCCCTCCTTCTTATATGGCTACTGTCCAGGGTCTACCGTCCTGAGTCCACTGCAGTCCGCTCCTGAGTCTGCCTGCTGAAACCTGGGCTGGCTCTAGGCTTCTAGGTGGCATCTAGCTGCTAGCAAAGTAATATTTGGGACACCAGATGAGGCTCACACTTGGATGGCAACAAAAAGGAAATTCAATCCAAAGCAAAACCGCATTTTACTCTTTCTAATCGTTTACTCTAAGAAAAATGCCTCTCCCAAAGAAAGAAGAGATGTGTGAACAAATTAACAGGTCCTTTGGAGAGCAGAGGTCATAAATGAAATGCCGCTTGAAAGCCAGGTCCCTGGACTCTGTCAGGGTGATGGGGTTTGTTTAAATTAGAATTTGCAGGCCTCCAGCTTTGTCAGCAGGGACTGGCTTTGTTGTTTTCCTCAGAAGCGGGGTGCAGTTATGTGGAGAGCTCCTACTTTGGGTCAGTTGCTATGAGAGCCTCCTAGGGGGTGAGCAACAAGCCATTTGTCTCCTCTAGAACTCTCTAAAAGGACCTAAGGTTTACTTGGGCTCAGAGGTGCTTTGGGGGCAGAGACTGTTGGGAGTTCAGGATGGAAAAGCCAGAGGTCCTGCTGCTCGACTTGGCTGCACCACCTCAGCCTGGGCTTCAGAGGAGTTTGGAGACAGGGGTCAGCTGCATGTTCCCAGCCATCCACAGGGGACTGACCTGCACCTTAGACTCCACAGGGCAGCTCCAGGGCATGCTCTGGGTCACTGTGCCACGCACTGTTTTGGCAGGTTCTTTCGAAATTCTCCAAGATCAAAATGAACCAATCAGCTAGTACTTAGAAAACAATTACCTACTGTATGCTCAGTGCCAAAACAAAACAAAACCCTGGACCGATGCTAATGAAATTCAAATAAATATCTATTTAGCAGGTCTCTCACGAGAGAACACCAATTTATATAGATGGTTTAACTGGAGCTCCAGACAGGACAGTGATCATTTTGTCTAGCATCGCTTTCTGTCCACTTCCTGAACTATTCCTGTCACAACCCTTGATGGCTTCAGTGTGCACACTGATGGCCTTTCCAGTACTCCTGGCCTCTTGGTTGCTGCACTTCCTCCCGTTAGAGGCTTCTCTCCACCCAACTCGAGCTGCTTCCTGTGATCTCAGCTCATGGCTCCTCATTACCAATGTCACACCACCCCTCCATCTCCATCTCCACTGCGTCCCCACCTCCTCCCACCATCTTTCTGGTGTAGTCCTGCTCGCATGTTAATCACAGCAGAGACCTTCAACCCATCCATCACAGCAGCTCCGCACAACCCTTCAATTACTTTCCTCCTTACCCAGCTCTCGTTGGTCAAGATTTTAATCATTTCCTCTTATGTCTGCTCTGTTGTTTTGAATTCTTTGCCTTTCATCATCCTTAGACTGCAAAGTCTCACCCAGGTATGCCCACGGTCCTGCTATCTCACGCCTACCCTTGCTGGGAAAAATCTTATCTGGTGAAAGATGGGTTTTAAATTGAGTAGAAATAAAGTTGTCGCTGGGGGAAGGACTCCACTGTCACTGGGGAGTGACATCATATAGTGAGGACTGGAGAGCCTGGCATAGGAAACGTGAGTCTGATGCTACCGTTGGAACATTTAGCTAGTAGAGCAAGCAGATGCGGCTGCATGGAGGGAGAGCCGGAAATTTAAAGAAAACAGGAAATGGGCTCTGAATGGGTTCTGCTAGCTCATCTTGGCAATTTTGGCGCTCATACTACTAAGGAGCTCAGAATGGGTTTCCAAGAGCATCAGACTCCTAAATGCTGGCTTTTGAGCCAGTTCGCCTGACAGGAAATTTAATTTTCCATCACATGGAGTTGAGGATACACGAGATGGTGCCTCCTTTCTCCTGTTACTCTTTTGGAGTAACAGAAAGAGGGGTTATAAGAGAGCCTAATAGTTGCCTATTTCACTGCCTCCCATGCCTGGTTACACACGCAAATATGTCACAAACTCCCAAAAGCTTCAGACTTCCACATCTCGATCTAGACCTTTGAAACTAGAATATTACAGGTTGAGGTCTGAGATGTTCTGGATGTTTAAGCCCCCTCTGAAGAGTCTTACACAGTCAGCGTGACAATGACCCCCAGCCCCCAGCTCCTAGATGGGCTGATTTATGCCCAGACTTGCCCAGCAGTATGGCTGTGCCTACCAAGACCAAGCCTTTACTTTACCAACAGAGGCACAGGTCTTGGTATTTTAAGTGATGCCCTTGACTCATACCTACTTTCCCATCTGGGAACACAGATAACCAGGGTTTTAAGAGTTTCTAGAGTCCAGCTTCCAGAGAGGGAAACTGACACCGAAAGGATACATCCAACATAGCATGCAGAGACATAGGCCACAAAACATTTCTGCAACAATGGACAAGGCATAAGGTGATTCTGTAAGATTCGATCCTGCAATCTGGTGACCCTATAGCTGTCTCGGTTTGCCTAAGTGCACTCTCCGATGTCACACAACAGTGAAATCACCCGTTTCCCTATCCTTCAGTAATGCATGGCTGTCGTTAGGTAGATCAGCACCAGAACCCAACGCAAGGCTTAGGACTGCAAGACCTGAACTCTCAAAGCTCTGAGGACTTCTTTGTTTTTGTTTAATAAACTGATCAGCACTTGAAAGGAGGAGAGACTAGGTCAATCTAAGGTGAAAACGCTGAAGCCTCTCTGGTCCCACCAAGACCAAGGCTGCAGCAGCACGTTAGCTAGGGATGCTCTGCACCTGGGCAAGAGATGCTGCGTTTAGGGAGTGACTTGGGGGAAGGTAGGACTTCCCCTGGGCTGTGATGCATCCCCCAGACAGGCATTCGGCTCAGATGGATGTGCACAGCATGGTTCTGCCCCACACTGGGTTACCAGATGTCCTGGTTTGCCTGGAGCTGTTCAAGACTTTGCAGGTTGCAACCAGGAAATTCTCAGGTCCTCAGGACAGTTGGTCCCTCTACCCACCTAAGGAGGCCTCCCTCCTGCTTCCTTCAGGGCACAGCCTCCCCGCACAGACAGAGGGCCACCAGGAATTTATACCAGATGCCAGCCACAGCCTCCTTTGCCAGGTCAACCTCATGGAAGGCTGCTTGCAATCCTGCCAGGTGACATGCATGCAGTCCCAAAGCTCAGAGTGGTTTACCTTCCCCCTTGCCATAGGACGAGCTGGCGGACCAGGACCTGGCCTCCACGTATCCCAGCTCCCGGCAGACGACGTGGGCAGCGTGGATGGAGAAGTCGTCATCACACACAGTGCCCCACTGGCCATTGTAGTAGACCTCCACGCGGCCCTCGTTGTGCTTCCTCTTCTGGCCTGCCAGGCGCAGCTGGATCTTGACCACATCCGAGGGCACCTGGGGCTGCTGGTACTCGGGGGCTGGCTGCTGGAAGTACTCGGGGTACTGGAGCTGGTAGGGCCAGCCGTCATACTGTGCCAGGCTCAGGGATGGCAACAGGATGAGCACAGCCAAATAGCCACGAAGGCCAGAGCCCAGAGGCCTCTCCATCCCTGTCTACTGGCCAGAGTGTCCCTCAGACGGGGTTCTGGGGCTGTCAGAAGTGGGAGCTGGGCCGGAAGTAGCAGGAGCCTCTGGAAGGGAGGAGAGAGGCATTAGGACAAGGTGTGGGGTGACAGCCACCTGCCCAGTGCTCAGTGACATCCTGGATGGATGCCAGCCCATCCCACTCCCACCAGACCTTTCAGGCCCACGGGTCCATGACTCCCCACTGCATCTGCCCACCAGCCTTCCTGTGTCTCTGGAATGCTTTCATCAGCAGGGCTCCTGAAGGGCACTGTCTGAGAATGTGAGTTGGGGGACTAAAGAAAGATGAGGCACCCTGCGATGGTCACAGAGGTCAGCCACTACTACCCTGGCATGAAGACCCTGCAGGGCACAGGATGGGTCCCAGAAGCTGGCATGTGGCTGAGCAGAGGGAACCATCACTGAAAGGTCCTGCAGTCACCCAGAGCACCCGCAGGAAGGGTGGTGGTAAATCTCAGTCCTCTTGACGTTTCATTTCTTTCTGGTACCTTTGAGGGGCAAACCCAACCCTCCCCAAAGCAGAGGCCAGGGAGCCTCCTGGAAGAGCCCATGAGGACAAGACTGGGGCTGAGATTGGGGACAGCAGGAGCAATGGGCCTGAACACGAGTGTAGGGCACTGGGTCCACCTCTCCTCTTGTCCACCTCTCCCATCCTCTCCTTTTCCAAGGCCCAGCTCAAGTCCCATGGGCTCCAGACAATGTCGCTACTGAACAAGCCTCCAGGGCCAGCTCCCACCAAGCAAGGCAGGGGTAGGATCTGGACATTCTTCTAAGAAGGTGCCTTCCCAGCACTGTCACTGTTTGGTTACCAACATCTCAGGGCAGCTCCTATCTCACTCTTCTCTGGCCACTCAGTGGGAGACAGCCAGGCTCTGAGGACACATTCACTGAGCATGGATGTAATCAGGGACTGAGCTGCTGGGGTGGGGTGGAAGGCTACCCTGGGGCCACCCTACACCAGGAAGTGTGACAGGACCCTCCGAGAACTGCCCACTTCGCTAGGGCAAGGGGTCCTTCCTATAGGAGAAAAGGAGGTGAGAATCCTTGACCAGAGTAGGAGGGTTAGTGTGGATAGAGCTAGCACTGGTCACTCCCTGGCTACAACATGTCTCTGAGTTCAGCCTGGGATTCAAACAGGTATAAACCTATGTTCTTGGTTTTAATACCAACTACCTCCCTGCTCTCGCTCATCTCAGCCCTTTCCACACCACAGTGCAATCCACAAGCCTGTGCTTAGTGTATTTTTTGCCACCCAGAGCACCGTGCCTCTGGCTCCTGCCCTCCACAGGTCCTCCTAGGCACAATGAATGCCTTCCCTGCCTCCCCTAAAATCTCACATCGTTTGTGTGACAGTTCGGTCATGTCTGGCTTGACCACTGAAACCATTCCTTTCTCATGTTCACAAAGCAACATATCTGTTTCCGCCTATGACAGACTAGTTTGGTTCAGGTAAATTCTTCTTGCCCAGAAAAATTAGAAAAAAAAAAAAAAAAGATAAAAAAACCTAAAACCATATACTATCATATACCTAATAACATTTCAAAAATGAGCCACATGTACAAAAATAGTCCCATAAGATTCGAATGTAGCTAAAAAACCAAAGCCAAGGGGGCTGGGGATTTAGCCCAGCGGCATAAGCACCTGCCTTGCAAGCAGGCAGTAGTGAGTTCGATCCCCGATACCAATAAAAAGCAAAAAGACAAAAAAAAAAAAAAACAAACCCCAAACAAACAAACAAACAAAAAAAAAAAACCAAAACCAAAACCCCCTTCTTATCTCTTAGTGACTTGGTAGTCACTCTTTTATATCACAGCACAATGACTGCTCCAGGGTTTGTAGTGACACTGTTGGAAACAAACCTATGGGGTCATACGAAAGCTCAGCACATTCAGTTATGTGTCATACCCAACACTTGGAATGATAATGACTATGGCACTGGTTATGCACAGGGTGTGACTGAAAGACACAGCATATGTTTACATTTTTAAAAATGCATTAAAGTAAAAGGTGCATTGCTATAACATCCCAGAAGACTTCCCCTTGATTTGGGCACATTTATCCCATTATTCTTGCAGCTTTCTGAAGCACTTCTGGAAATCCTCCTCTTTCATGAATGTCTTTAAAACATGTGATAAAAAATACAATGCTGAGTACTATCCAAATGAAATAAGCTGTTAAACATATTACAAGGTGTCCTCATGGGCCTTAGTTAGCAGGTCTGGCACTGTGACTCCTGGATCTTCCTCAAAGTCAAAATGACCATGATTGCAAATCTCTTGAGGCAACCGTGAGGTACCAGTAAAGACAGTCGTGTTAGAGAGCTTTGCAGAATTGCTTCAGAAAGTACCAAGAACAACGGATAAACGTGTTCAAAACGAGCAAGGCTGTTTGCAGGGGGATTAATGCCAAGGTGCCTTTTACTGCAATACGTTTTTTAAAAACAAATATTTGCTTTTTTTAAATCACACTCTGTACTAACTACACTATACTTCTAAATATTATTTACATGTATTCTTCCTACTTATAAAAAAAGTTTATTGTAAACAGCATACATGCCCAGCTGCACAGCCCACTCCTTAAGGAAATGTATCCTATGATTCTAAGTCTCTTGAGGACATCTAAAGTCACTGCAGGACTGGCCTGTGCCAGGTGAGTTTGAGTGAATTCTGTGAGGTTTGCATGGTGCTGAATCAGCTGATCAAGGGAGGATCAAGAGATGTCCACATCTCAAGCAGAACGTGACTGTGTCACAAGGTACTGGAAAGCTGACAAGCAGCAATATGAGCTCCAAGACTCCAGAGAGTTGGGAAGCCCAGAGAGCCAAGGTTCACATCTGTCTGTGCTTTCCCTGTCACAGGGCACTTGCCAACTCCAAGTCACAGCTGAAAAGCTAAGCAAAGCTCTCGCTGCCTCTAAGACATGCAGACAAGAAAAACTGGAGTTCTGAGCCTACAAAGGAGTAGGGTACCCATTAGGCATCCGTGGGACCCATTAGACGGCCAGGGTTAGGGTTAGGGTTAGAGTTATATGGCCAGCCAGACTTCCCAGGGAGTTTCCAAGGAGCTAACTTCTATATGTCAGGCCACAGTTGTTTGAAAGCTCTAAAATCCAGACTCAGAACCCCAAAGAAGAGGAAAGAATGTGGAGCCAAATGTTTGAAGAGATAATGGCAAAGATTTTCTCAAAATATACAAACATTCTCAAGGACAACCAGGGTAGTTTACACAGAAAACCTCTCTGGGTGCATCCAAATCCAGCTGTGGAAAATTCAAAACAGAAAATCGTGCAGGCGGCCAGAATCTAATAGGTACATTATTTCCAAAGACCAACAACACAACAAATACTGGCTTTGCCACAGAAGTAAGGGAGCAAGAAGATAAGGGCCTGACATTTTCAAGAGACCCCCCAAAACCCCACAATCAATAATTCATACTTATTAAAGTATCAGTTAGTGAGATAAAGTCATTTTTATACAAAGAAAAATAGAGATCATGTTACCAGCAGATCCACAAGATGGGAATACTCAATGGTGTCCCTTAAGCAAAGGAAATATAATCATAGATAATGGTATGGTGGTGCAGGAAGAAAAGGAGGCTATGGAATAATGGGCCCAAAAACCTAAATGAAAGTCTGCTGTGTAGCTCGATCATAATTACAGGGTTTCAAATACTTGTATCACTGGCTGGAGATATAGCTCAATGGAAGAGTGTTTATGGGTAAGGCCCAGGGATCAAACCCCAGTACAATAGATAGGTAGATGGAATTGTTATATATGTAATAGTTATTAAAATGTGTGGCAACAGTAGTCTAAGAGGCAAGCAGGAAATACATGGAGATAAAATGTTTTAAAGTTTTTGTGTGGCCTGAGAAGTGGTAAAAGTACTATTTTCTACCAGGTTTTACCTAACCTAATAGATGCATGCTGTAACTTTTATGGTAATCACCACTTTATAGGTTAATAAAGGGAATAAATAATGAAATTATAAAAAATACTCAATGTGTTAATCCACTGTCCATAGCTGTGAAAAAATACCTCAGATAGTCAATTTGTAAGGTAGGGTCACCTGGCCTCATGGTTTCAGAGGGTTCAGTCCATAGTGGCATGGCCTTGTTGCCGTGGGGCTGTGGCATCATGGTAGAAATGTGTGGGTAAGGAGGCTGCTCACCTTATGGTGGCTGGGAAGCAAACAGAGAAGCAGATAGAGATCAGGGTCTTGATATCTACTCCAAGGGCATGACCCCAGCTACCTGACTTCCTTTCACTAGACCTCACCTCTTGCATGGTCTGTCACATTTTTACAGTGCTTAGGCTGGCCACAAAACTTTCAGCCTCTGGGTCTTTATGATCTAAACTGTAATATGGGAAGCAACTGCAGTGACTCCCTTTGAATCCAAAACAATTGCTATGACTTTGAATATTTGTAGACTCATTTCCTTATACTGATATGTAAAATTGGCTCTAAGCATTGCAAATAAGGCTAGCCAAGGTGTTAATGTGCAAAGTCTAGCCATCAGACAGTCCTGTTTCCTCATATGGTGCTCTCCACATTACAGGATTGAGCTAGAGAGACGCAGAGCAAATAGCTCCAGGAATGTCAACTGGGTAGGAGCCTCAAGATAAGAGGCTATGACTCTCCAGAGCACAAGAATTTGCATATCAAAAACCGAAGCAATAGCCCCCCAAAACAATTCCTCTGCTACCTTAATTAGGTTATGTAAATTGATCCTTAGGCATGTCTTTATCTCTGCAAATTACAGAGATGCCACTCTTGCGCTTGGCCAGCCAGCTCAAGTTACTCAGTAATCCCGGACATCCTGACTATCACTCATCCCTGAGCAATATCCCCCCCCCCCCCCGTCCCACTTTCTTCACAAGATAATAAATGCTGGGAGAAGCCTGGGATTGAGTCTCTTGTGCACATGTCCTCATAGGAAATGGGCTTGGGTCCCCTTGGCTGCCCTTAACTTGGAATATGTCTTGGTGTCTTTACTCTTGCCATGGGTTGCTGGTGGTAGACTGGAATTGAATGGCTGGGATTCCAATAAC